AAAAAAACGAAGTCCAGATGACATGATTCAACCTTTTTTGTTGTTATATACCTGGATGACTGAGAAAACAAACTTTATGTTCCAACAAACTTATAAGTTCATGTCTGCAGAAGATTACTTTACCTCCTGGTAGATTTTTTTTTGGTCCTCTACTTTTGGAGAAATTAATTGGAAACAAGTTTGGTTAAGTGGAGAAAAATTTAGCATAACAAATAAAGTTAAATAGGTTTCATATAAAATCAATCATAATATATAACCTGTTAAAAAACACTGGAAAGATTTAAACTTGATATTGACTACTCATGTACATTTTGTGAACTACACAAAGAAACAATTTCTCATTTATTCTATCAATGTAATCACACAAAGACGTTCTGGACAGATGTACAACAACTCATACAACAGAAAACTGGACAAATAATTCAACTTACAGAGAAAGACATTATATTAAGCTTCGACAATAAGGATATGGACAAAGACTTGATCTACTTCACCCAACTTCTACTTCTCCTGGGAAAATTCCACATTCACAAGAAAAAGTGGTCAAACTCCAAACCAAGCAGGAACTTTACAGATACAGCAGCACTATTAAAGGACTTGAAAACAAAAAAGCAATGAAAACCATCTCAGTTCTAGAAAAACTTCATGTGAATTTATTTATATAGCCTGTAAATAGATTGTTTTGTATCTTTAGACTTTTTTATCCTTTGTACCATTTTATAATCAAATTGTTCTTTTCTATACTTATATACTCTTACATTTGTACCTGCTAATATACCCCTGGCAGACACTTGTTTGTAAAATTGATAAAGTTTTGTAAAAAAATAAGAAGTCCTCATCCTGTCAGCTTGATCCATTTTCCACAGTTCTTGTAAAATCCTGTCTCCACCCTCCATCCTCACCTACTGTCTCAATGAGCTAAATCACTGGTTTTCTAACAGTTAAGTACAACTTAACAGTAACAAAACAGAAATCGTTCTTGTCGGTACCAAAAACTCCATTTCAAAATCAGAAGATCTTCTCATCCCCCTTAACAACTCTCTGCTGTCCCCCTCACCTCAGGTCAAGAGTCTTGGTGTCACCCTCGACACCACTCTCTCCTTCACTTCACACATCAACAACGTCACTCGGTCTGCCTATTTCCATCTCAGAAATATTAACCGTCTCCGCCCTTCTCTCACACCACGCTCCACAGCCATCCTTGTTCACAGTCTTGTGACTTCTCGGATTGACTACTGCAACTCCCTTCTTTATGGCCTCCCCAACAAATCTCTCCAGAAGCTACAATTGGTCCAGAACTCAACTGCCCGTGTCATAACTCAAACCTCCTCCTATAACCACATCACTCCAGTCCTGCAGCAGCTCCACTGGCTCCTGGTTAAATCACGCATAGTCTTCAAAATTCTTCTTCTCACTTTCAAAGCTATCCACAACCTTGCCCCTCCGTACCTATCTGACCTCCTACACATCTCCATCTCCTCTCACTCTCTCAGATCCTCCTCTTCACTACACCTCCATGTACCCTCTGCCCGCCTCTCCACCATGGGGAGCAGGGCCTTCACCTGCTCTGCCCCACATCTCCGGAACTCTCTGCCCCCTGACTTAAGAAACACCACCTCTCTTTCTACA